CCATATTGATCTAGAAGACGATTTACGTGGAAGTCACAAAGAAATATATCCTGTAATCAGGGGCGGACCCAACCTTGAGGATGGCCTACCCTGACATTTTAAAAAAAATTGTTTTATAAGCTTATAAAAATTCTATTATAATATATTCAATCCTGATTTAAAAAAAAAAAAAATATATATATATATATATATATATATATATCAGACTCATACAAAACTTGTTATTATATATATATTCCAGACCTCATCATATTAAAAGTTTAAAACTCTCTCCATTTTTTCTATGTCCACCTATTTTTTATGATTTTATCCCTAAATTCTTATTCTCTCATTCTCTCATTCACTTTCTTTTGTTATTCGTTCTTAAAACTTTTGAAGATTGAAATTATTGAAGCTTTCTCTAATCAAGTACCACAATTGCTTTGTTTTCTGTTTTATTAGTTTTAGGTATTGTGTTGCTCATTTCATTTTAGTTTATTTTAAGTTGATCATGCTTATTTTTTGAAGTTTTTTTATTCTAATTTGATGGAAAAATGCATGGTCTTGTGAGTTTATTTTGTGTTTAAGAATGTTTGTTTTTCTAAATAACCTTAACTATATTTTACTGAATGTTATTCTTCATTTCACCCATCACTTTCCTAATTTCAAACGTCACTTTGGCTACTCAAAATTATTTAAAAAGTTTGATTTATTATCTATGTTTATACTAAGAAAATTTCCCTTTTTTTTTTTATTAATTCATAAAAGTCGGTAACGTTGACTTAATTTAAGTTTTGATTGCTTTATCTTAGTTAGACCTGATTAAAGTCTGAAAATTTATATATAATATTTGAAAGCCAAAAAAAAAATTAAAAAAAAAAGGAGAAATAAGAAATTTGTGTGAACATTTTTGGTGGATTGTAATTGTTGTAAACTCTTTTAATTATATTGGATTTAAGTGGATTGTTAGATTCCTGTGTCTTTTGCTCTCTTTAATTGAAGAGGTTTTTCCACGAAAAAATTTCTTCTGTTTCCTCATGAATTTGATGTTATTTTCAATATAATTTGCTCAAATTTTGCTTCTCATAGATTTATTCAATAGTAAGTATTGTGTTATTACATTATTTCTTTCAGATTATGAATTATATTATTTTTTGTGATTTTTTTAAAGTTTTCACTAGTTGTTTGACAAACAATGACAGATTCGTGAAGCCCCTCCTGAGCAAAAATCCTGGATCCGACAATGTAATGCCATGTGGAACATTGATCGTTTTCCAAAGAGAAGATCCCCCATTATCTTAATTACTAGTGCATTAATTAATTAATTAAATTAATCAAACAAAAAGTTAATTACCTCAAGCAAGTGCCTTTGATTATTCAAAGTTTTCTTTTTCATATATTTGATTATTCAATGACCCCTACTCACTAGTGTAGCATAACACGAATAAAATAATTACTTTTAAGTGGTCGAGTGACTTGATAAAGTTTTTGGGTGTATTATTAAAAAAATCTTGAATTCTGAGTGTCTTTATTAATTACATATTTAATTGACACTCTTTTCTAATTGCATGGATATAATTGTCTAACATCTAACTTATATGATAAAATGATATTTACGCACGTGGTGGCAATTTATACATTAAATTAAACTTAAGTGGACCATAAGCTTCATTATCCTCAATTTATGTGGTATTCAAATTAATGTAAATGAAGAACATATTTATGATTCAATTGAAACTTCTACTGGAAATATGTAGAGATAAGAGAAGAAAAGACCTATTTTTTTTTTATTTGTTTTAACAATCCCCAGTCCAAAGCACGTCCCAAGAATTAGCAATATTAATGTATAAGAATGAATGGTCATGTAGGGTGAGGGAGAGTTAAGCAATATGTTGATTAATGATTGGTTTAAGCGTGTGACTAATCAAACATTCTTGCATTGGCACTGCAGTCTAAAAATGACTTTGCAGCCAATTTAATCACGCAATGCCTCAAGGATTCGCGGTAATCATGCCCTTCAACTTGATTGCACCACACTTAACCTCTGCCTTTTCTTTTCTTGCACCCATCAAGACGCAAACACTCTTCCTAATTCACTTATCTCTCTCATTGGATCAAATGTCCTCGGAAATCACATACAATATTATTCATATAACCTTTTTTTATTACACACAAACACGAAGAATAATGTTACGTTGTAAATGAAGCATAGTAAATGAAAGTGGACTTGAGGTTAATGAATTAGTAATTAATGAGAAGAAGAGAGAGGACCCTTGTCCCCATCAATGTTTTTAATTCTAATATTAAAGTATTAGATCATTAAAGTGAAGAAGCACAGAGTCCATGATGAATGGACGGCGGAGGATAATGATTGCGCCTTTCTGCTAAGAACCATTTTTCAGTTTGCTATTGTTTTTAGTCACTTTCTTTCTAAATCTAATACTAGTCTAGACAAAGTAACAGTTCCTGTACCGTCTATGTTAGTAATGTGTATCTCATCATCTTCAGCTTCTCTCTCTCTCTCTCTCTCTCTCACTGCAGTGGTATTGTCATTTGACTGTTTGTAAACTGTGTGGAAACGTACATTGCCATGCCTATGGTCACTTCAAAGGACCTAAATTACAGCCTTTTACCATAACTTTCCCGCATGGTTTAGTAGGATATATATTTAATTATGGAGTTGAATAGTATAGTACATGAGACAAGGTACCACGAGTTTTCACTTTGCACTTTGCAGATCACCCTGCATGCAACATGGACCTTTTTTTTCTGCCTTTATTTATAAGCTCAAACTCCAATATACATATATTGCACTTGCAGGATCTATACAAGTTTTCAAGAATAAGATTAGTTCGTTTTGTGAATTTGTGATGTATCTCAAATATTTTTACAAGGCAAAGATTTTACAACTTTTGGGTACTTATTATATATGCATTCTTGGTGGGTCCTAATGCAGAATTTATCACCTCCTTCAAAGTCATTCCTCCTTGTGAAACGTGGAGAAAACATAGAGAGCAAGATAAGATATATATATATATAAGAAAATGGAGTCAGAACTGAGAAGCTGCAATTAATGGAAACGTGCTAGATGAATTAAATAGCTCTCTCTCTTTCCATTATTCTTTCTTTATGATTCAGCAGATGAAGATCAGTTAACAACATAGCCTCCATCATGGGCTCCCCTAACCACACAACTACAAGACAATGATTCATTTCAGGCAAAACTCCACAAGGGTCTCTCTCAACATGCCTCCATATGGGCTCCCCTAACCACACAACTACAAGACAATGATTCATTTCAGGCAAAACTCCACAAGGGTCTCTCTCAACAATAACTAAATCAATGTGCATGTCTTTCATATTCAACTAAAGTAAGTGCCGTGTTAATTTTTCTTCATTGAATGCTCCCCTTGGTCTTTCTAAGTCCCTTTCTTTCTTTCATTATTTACAATTTTACATGCAGAGGCAGCGCGTACCTGATTTAATGTTTGTAATGTTGATCACTGTATCAGTGACATGACCTGATTGATGATGAAGGAAGGAATTAGGAATGTTTCTCAATTCACCAGAGATTGTCTTTCACGCACCCTTTGGCTCGTGTGTATGACTGGTTACCAGTTTTCTTCCTTGGGAGAAAACAAACTATAGGAGAGGTATTAAGTAACTTAACTAGAATAGTGCAAGTTGGGATGGAACTTGAATGTTTTTGACAGCTGTGAAAACACCAAATTGTTGTCTGCGTATATATAATCACATTTGAAGTGATTGTATTAGATGACAAGATTGAGAAGATCAAGAAAAAGCTTTGCAGTAATAATAATAATCATTAAGCCGATGATGTAACTTCTGCAAAATCTCCTAAAAACACAGTGGGTCAATTACTAGAAAGACATCATTGAATTTTTCATAACTAAACTAGAAAAGGGTATTGATAATATGATGCCCTTTCAGATTTCTATGAGGTGTTTGAAGTTTAATTGCCAGTATTGCTTTTTATTTTTCATAAAAAAGAGACGAATGGAGTTTACTTGCGAGAGAGAGCATTGCTTTAGTGTGTGGACAAAACACTGCTTGCAAAAAAATAGGCTTTTTGGGACTTCGGGAAATGTAAAGCTAAATATGAAAATGACTAAAAACTCAGCAGACAATCCTGTGTTATGATTATGAACGTATCAGAATCACCAATCATCAATATACTCATCCACGCGCACAAACTTCACACCTTCTGATTCATTGGCTTTACGCTTTTGAGCTATATGATGTGTAGCCAAAGTTATTTATTGTTGCACTTTGTGGTGATATTTATACACTCTGAAACCATCTACTGTTTCATTTACGACATTTAATTCTAATCTAAATATCTAATGTTTATTTTGGTTCTATAATTTATATACAGATTGCATTGCACGTGTTCCCTCCAGATTTCATCGAGTGCCTTTAAGTTGAACATCTGGAGGGTCATTCAAATCTTGATCATTTCGGTGTCTTTAAGATTCCATGGAGATAACTCCTGAGATTAATCGGTGGAAAAACTTTTTCTCCTCCAATCTTAGGAAATTTATGCCAACTCCATCAAACACAAGTTTTTTTTCAGTAAAACAAATATTTTGATTGAACAATGAACAGTTTTGATGATTTGAATTTTACAGGTGGGAATAGTTGCATAGAATGTGTAAGGAAGCTTAACATTACCGGGATATACATAAATTTTTTTGATGATTCTGGCATAAAATAAGGACACGTGCCAGCCATGGGTTATGGTGCAGGGCTTTCTATCCCATCTGTCGCTTTTGCCTTTTTGTCTTACTTCATCTCTATCCATTTATCTCTTTCTACCTTGATTTTCAGATTTATATAAATAATATTTTGATCCTAGCTTTCAAGTTCTAACTTTTAATTTAACTTTATTTGCTTTTCTATTCAACAAAGTCAATATTGTAAACTTGGAATAGCATATTTGTGGAGTCTATAAATATCGCCCTTTCCCATTTATGTGCATCATTCAGTGCAGCCTAGTTGAGCTGAAGCCCTGCAAAACCAAGCCAAAACAAAAACCATGGAAATGGAAGCAAAAGTTGTGAAGAACTCAAGATTCAAGAGGGTCTGTGTGTTTTGTGGCAGCAGTACCGGGAAGAGAAACTGCTACCGTGATGCCGCCATTGACCTAGCTCAAGAGCTGGTACTGTTTATTTCCATATCTACATGTAACACCATTTACAAAACTTTCTTATGGTTGCTTTTAGTGTTATGTGATTAACTTAGTCGTGGCTTTTGTGTTTGTGTGTAAAGGTTGCTAAAAGATTGGACCTTGTTTATGGAGGAGGTAGTATTGGGTTAATGGGATTGGTCTCTCAAGCTGTTCATAATGCTGGTGGAAATGTTCTTGGGTAAGTAAACTCATAAATCTATAATTTTTTCAGGTTTTACATTTTGTAATCACTTATCCATGTGTGTTTTGGGAATTTGTTCTTCACTAGGATTATTCCAAGAACTCTGATGAACAAAGAGGTAACATAAAGAGATCTCATTCGGGTGTTCTTCCTTATAAAGTTTTCAGCTTTTGTTTTTGTTTTGTGTCCTGGGTTTAAAATTTTGCTTTTCTTCAGATAACTGGTGTGACGGTTGGAGAAGTAAGGGCGGTAGCTGACATGCATCAAAGGAAGGCAGAAATGGCCCGCCACTCTGATTGTTTTATAGCTCTTCCAGGTAAATTCAACCTCAACACTTCATTCTTGTTGTCTCCCCTCAAAATAAATATCGATAATGTTCACTCTTTTGTATATATCTCAACTTTGGTTTCAGGTGGATATGGGACTTTGGAGGAGTTATTGGAAGTCATCACTTGGGCTCAGCTGGGAATACATGACAAACCTGTAAGCATATATATATATATATATATATATATATATAGGGGATTTAAAAAGGGTTTTACTTTGGTTAAAAACCCTTTGTTTTCTTTTTGGTTTTTAATAATATTCTGCAGGTGGGTTTGCTTAATGTTGATGGCTACTATAACTACCTTCTCACTTTCATCGACAAAGCCGTTGATGATGGCTTTATCAAGCCTTCTCAGCGCAACATCATTGTCTCTGCACCAAACGCTAAAGAACTTGTTGAAAAACTTGAGGTTAGTCTGATTGTTTATTATTATCATTTTTCTTTTTGTTGTTTTTTAATTTGATTGTTTTGTTTCTGATGGCACTGTTTTCTTGATTAGGAGTACGTGCCTGTGCATGATGGAGCTATAGCCAAGGCAATGTGGGAGGTTGAGACACAGCAGCAAGTGGTGTTCAATGCTACAACAACTTTGCAGACTGAGGTCGCTCTATAAAGACAGACAGAACAGAAGATGAAGATAAAAAGAACAAAAAAAATATATATTAAAAGTTATGGGGAAAGAAGAAGCTTCAAGTCCTTTGCTTTATTATTAAATCTCATTTTGGGTCATATACCAACCATGAATCATACCATAATGGTATATGAAAGGTTTGAATGACTTGAGAGAGAAAGAGAGGAGAAGACATTGACAAAATTAAGTGGGTCTTTTTTGTATGTTGAAAAGAACTTATTAAAGGAAGAAAAAGTTAGTTTGTATTACTATTATTGTTTAGTTTGGTATGATGATTAAGCTTTTGCATTTTGGCACCTCGAATTAAGCACAAAGATTATAGAATGAAGTCAAGAAGCAAAAATCCAAAAACAGCAGGCTTTATTCTCTATGTCAAACAAATTTACCAATATGTCTTGCCTCCTCCCTAGCTACAGCCTGCATGGTGGTGTTATTTATTAGCTCCTTTTGGTTCTGCCAGTTTTTTAAGGTACTGTTTTTGTGTATGATGATTTATGCAATTGGGGTCACTTTGTGGCTTGCGGACTTCGTTTTTTCTACTATTGCTGTTTTATTTGGGGTCAAATTTGCAATATTAACGTATTAAGTGTCCCCGGTGAGTGTGTTCAGAGAGTGGTACTGGTACAGCTCATCCTTGCAGGGCCAGAGATTTTTTTAACTGTAGCTGGAGTCTGGACGTTGTTTGTTTTGATGCTACTGCAAAAGCAATGTAGAGAAAGACAAATGATGACCTGAAAAAATTGGAACAGAAAAACTATTCATTCTTGCAACCTCAACCAATAACCAAGGCCTGCTTTGTTCCACTGCCGTTACAAAAAATAGCACACTTGTAACAGAGAAAGCCCCATGGCTTTTTCTCTTAAATTATCATTGAGCCATTTAACAACACATTGGAAACTTTGACAAAAGACCTCGGCTTAATCATTCATCAAGACTGGCACAGATATTAATTACAGGCTAATGACAAGTGTAGTTCACGAAATGCAAAGAAATTATAAGTTGAAATTACCCAATTCACTGGCTTAATAATGAGTTAAATTTCTTATTAAACTCAAAGAGGGGAAACAAACAATTGATGGGGTTTTGAGTAGTGTTCTCTCTTCCTGTAAAAGCTAGTTACAGAAATCATGTATCCCCTAGAAAAAGAATAAGCATTATAGAATGTACAGGTTTTGGGGCAATGTGACTACAGAGATTGGTTGGGGACCAGATTAGTTTTGAGCAGTTTGTGTATGCCTTTTTTGGTTTCTGTTTTCTGGCCCGCTTTCCTTTTGCCTTAGGCAATTATGATACACAGAGTGCCGCCCCTCACTAATTTTCCCAAAAGACATTATATGTCAACTGGAAGAGCAGTGCGGTTGTATTTAACTGAACAGTGGGGACCAAAACTTGGAACCCATTTGAAACAAGGTATTCAGTAATTGTAGTAGTAATCCAGACAGCAATTAATTCAGGGAATGTTAACAATATATGTAGGAAACTTATAATGTTCCCAGGTTACATGAATCTGAATGTGAAACATATGACCTCTGTTTTGTTTCATTAAAACTTTTGAAATATTGTCACTAGGCCCGGATATGGTCCAAACTCCAAAGTTATTATGTGGGGAAAACCAAAAAAAGACCCATTTTACATCCTTTCAATCATGATATGTTATGTCAATACATCTTATTTGCATGTAAACATACACACTTCTAATCTTGTGGAAGATTTTCGACCTTGACGCATAAAAAGGGAGTGGACAGATGATGGGTCACTACTGATTTTCAAGCACAGTGAAATGAAGTAGTGTTGGGAAACATATTGCCTTTGGGGAAGGAAGTGAGGCTAAATAAGTGGGAGAACCTAACATCTCAAAAAAGTTTGGGAAATGGCATAATGGTACTTTTAACTAGAGCTGGGCATTTGGGACCGGGCCCAAAAGCCCAACTTTAAAACCCGATCCTAAGACCGGTCCTTAAGAGGACTGGACCTAGGAGGCCTGGTCCTAAAACGGGACTAGGCCTAAGGAGGAGGGCCCGGGCCCTCCATTGGGCCCTCCTCCAAGCCCGGGCCCAAAATTTTTTATATTTTTTCAATGTAGTCCCCTGTCAAATTACATAAAACCCCCTGTTAATTTTAAAACAAATATAAATTATAAGGGCTAAAATGAAATTTTACAGGTCTAAAAATTTTATAAAATTTATAAATTTTACCCCTAAAAAAGACTAAAAACCCCCTATAAAATTTTGTTTTGCCCCCAAAATATAAAAAATTTGAGTGGGAAAAATAAAATTATCCAAGACCCATGGGACCGGTCCTGGGCCCATGGGACCAGTCCCGACCAGGCCTAGGACCTGGTCCGGGTCCTAGTTTTTCTCATGGGCCTGGGACCGGTCCCAGGCCCATGAGTGACTGGTCCCATTTGGGACTGGTCCCTTGACCACCCCTACTTTTAAGTTTTAACTGCTTGAGTGATGAATCTGATAGCAATTCTACTGCTTTAAAAAGCCAGTAATAGTACTGTAAGTAACTAATCACTACTCCTAACACTAGTGACATTTCATCTTTACTGCTCTTACTTTCTTAAAGTAGACACCCCACTTGTAATGTTTGATTAGAGATATTGGCTCAATTCAATTTAAAGATTAAGCTTAAATGTGGGTTAAACAGACCTCGATTTGGCCCAATTCGGCTTTAAATTTTTTCAAATCTGACCCAACAAATGAACTAATGGGTTTGGAAGATCCAACATAATGGGTCCATAGAATTAGGGCATTAGTCCAATGGGAATCCTGTTTCATGTGGTCCTCATAACACTGAAAACCAAGCCAATTCGTCTCTTTTCTCCTTTTTTATTTTCTTCGTCTTTTTTCTTGTAGGCTGTATGATCAATCTTCCATAGTTTTGTCTGTCCCTTAAAGCAAGTCTTGCCCCAAACGACCTACAACTTGTAGACATAAAAATCTACCTATACGGAAGGGGGGTTTGATCCCATGAGGATGAGACCACTAGCGATCTGCTGTACCTGCACAAGTAGAAAAACACACGCGTGAAGCGAACGGGAAACATCGGAGCGGTGTTTGCCGTAGACACTCCGATGCTCAAGTCAGCAAGACTGAAAGACTAATATAGTGAGGGCTAGGGAGTAAGAGGTTACCGAAAGTCTAGTCGGGGACTGTGACTACGGCGATGATGTAAAGCTCTCGAGTAGGAGCTTCGGGTGTGAAGGTGTAATCTCTCTCCCTCTGTGAGAGGGTTGACCTTTGTTTATATAGTGACTGTCTAGTCTCCCAATCCTGGTAGGAGTAGGAGTCCTAATGTGACTCTGGTGCAAACCCTATAAGAATTATGGTTGTGGTAAGCTGTCTTACCAGTGTCCGAATAGGAAGGTGATTCTGATCAGGAAAGTGTTCTGAAACAGGAAAATGACTTCGAATAGGAGATTGATCAGGAACAGGAATATGATCAATGAGCTGTGGGCTCGGAACTCGCCTATAAACCCAAGAAGTGAGCTGGAACTGGGAGGCTAGTACCCAGATAGTTTGGGTCGGCCATATTTCGTATCAAATGGGACCGATCTGGCTTGGGCCTCTTTAGGACTGGGCCCGGTCTTTTCTTCACTAGTGATCCTGTTTGCTTATTTGGGCCAAGGGCGATTTTTGGCCCTAACACAACTTTACCTCCAAGAAAATACGTGTTGGCTGTCAAATGTCACATTCAAACAAGAAAATCTCAATACAATCGATGCATGTATATATGATCGATTATAAGATGTGTGGATATCACGCATATTGATGTAACAATCTTCTATTAGTTGGATGTATCCATGTAATCGTGTGTATATCACACTTATTGATGTAACAATCTCTTATCAATCAGATCTATCTGTATAATTGTGCGTATATCACATTTATTGATGTAACAATCTCTCATTAGCAAGATGTATTTGTATAATTGTGAGTATATCACACTTACTGATGCAACAATCTCTTATTAATCAGATGTATTTGTATAATTGTGTGTCTACCACATATATTGATGTAACAATATTCTATTAATTAGATGTATTCGTATAATTGTATGCATATCACGTATTTTGATGTAACAATCTCCTATTAGTAGATGTATTCGTAAAATTGTGTATATACCACAAATGTTGATGTAACAATCTCCTATTAATCAGAGTATTTGTATAATTATATTCATTACCCAAATCATTTTTTATCCTAAAATAAAAGATAAAAAAAACAATTAACTATTCAAAAACATTGTCTCGATATGGGTTTTTTTTTTTTAATTTTCTAACATATTACCCAAATAATTTTTTATCCTAAAATAAAAGATAAAAAAAACAATTAACTATTCAAAAACATTGTCTCGATATGGGTTTTTTTTTTTAAATTTTCTAACATATTACCCAAATAATTTTTTATCCTAAAATAAAAGATAAAAAAAACAATTAACTATTCAAAAACATTGTCTCGATATGGGTTTTTTTTTTTTTTTATTAAATTTTCTAACAACTACAAATATTTTAAAGAGTCTTTTTTAATAATAGCTTTAAAAAATCTAATGTGAATCTTAAACATGGGGTATGACAGGAATGTGAGTGGCATGAATTAGATTCGTGTGAAATGGTTCATAATCTGGGGCCCTTAAAAAGCTGCAATTGTGGCAATTAAAATGACGGCTCTAACCCAATTCACGCCTGAACTTGAGCTATAAAAATCCAGGCCCATTACAGCCAGAGTCTGAAATCTGAATGAGTGAACGCTCAATTCCCACTAGAGCCTCCTTTTAATTAATTTAATAATCTTTAGTTCATATTACGATTAACGATTCAAACTGAGTTGTAATCACAAGAAGCAATCATTATTTCCTTTAATCATCTAACAAATGATACGATACAAGAAGATAAGAGGGTTGATGTCGAACGGATGTCTATCTGATCTGTCAAATAAAGACAACTTAAAAAGAATAATGTTAGGCCTGCAGCAATAACATTTACGCGTAGCTGATTCGATATAGGGTATTACATCCAATGATACTAATAACAGTTTTTAATGTCATCAGAACCCTCGTCAATACGGAGCAATTTTCTGTCAAGATCCCATATCGTGATCTCATATCGACCAAGTGTGATACTTAAGTTTAGGAGTACTCTCACCTATTACATTAATCTTTTGAGTTGGACGCTCTCTTAGGCTTGATTTATAATATTGGTGCTATTATTAAGAGTTGAGTTGCGGAAAGGGTTATCTATAAGCTAGGGGCGTTGGGCTTGAGTTCTAACATTTTCCTATATAGAACTGCTCTTGAAGGAGGTGAGAGGGGTGCAATGTTAGGATCTCACACCGGGATCTCACACTAACCAAGTGTGGTACTTAAGCTTAGAGATGCTCTATTGGGCTTGAATACTAACATTTTTCTATAGTGATATGGTATTTTGCATCTTATAAATATTAAATAGAGCAAACGACATATTTCCACTCGAGGTTTAGTGAAATCCCAAGTTGATGCCCCTTATTGCATTTATTCTAGACTCTCATCCTTAAAGTAACGTCATTTCCTTTATTTTAATAGATTCATTCTCAACTTTTCATTGTAGCACAGCGCACGTTAGCATGCTAAAGTGCGCCAACACTTTCTTTCGCAAAAGACAGACTTATGTCAGCAAAAAGGGCTCACGTTAGTAGCATCCAAGCCAACGTTTTTAACCGATTCTAAAATTCAAAATCACTTCTGAGACCACCGTTAGACTCCTCATAACCTCGTCTATAAAACTCATACCTTCACTTGTAGAACCTCACTCACTGTTTCTGACCACCTCTAATAGTCACTAACGATATTAATTTAATCTGTAATAAATACAACAAAAGGTATCAACTTGGAATTTCACTGAACCTCGCGTGGGAGTATGTTGTTTACTTTATTAAATATATGATAGTGGAATAATCTTTTGACTTGTTATTTCATCCTTTCACACTTTTTCATACTGAACAATTCAAAATAACAATATAAATATACAATAACTCATGATTTAGAAGTAAAAGTTTCCACTGTTATACATACCCAAGTGCAAAGTTTTGGAGTGTATAATATGTTGGGTAATTTGATGTGGTATTAATATGGTCTTAATACTCAATCGCGTAAATTTAAAATAAGAGTTAATATTAGCATATATAATAATAATAATAATAGATGTGTTGTGATTCGGCTTTAAGTCTACATTAATCAAAACAAGGATCTCACCAACCACTACTTTTTTTCTAATCTTATACTTTTACTTTTACTTTGATCATGAATTAAAAACTTAAACAAAACACATTAGTCTAAATAGTTTATTAAACAATTCTAATGTGAGCAAAACAAGAAATATTCTGATAACGATGGAATTGGGTTTAAATATGATTAGGCTCATCTTATTTTATCACAAACTCACCTTTCACTACTGCTTCTAATTGTGAAACCGTGTTGGCTTCAGTACCATTCGCTAAACTTTCATTAGATTCATGAAGATTCCAAGAAATTTCATGGAAACTTACCTGCAATTGCTCTCTCTTATTAATTTCAATTATCTAACACCAAATTTAGAAACCACTTAGATCAATAAACAATAACAATAATTATCATTAGATGATCTGATGATAAAAAAACAAAAAGAGATTTTTTAAGTCTTTGATTTCGAGTCATTCCAGACACTAATAGAGATAATCACTGTAAAATTAGTTGAGATATGCGTAAACTAGTTCAAACACCCTTAGTAATAATAATAATAATAATAATGAATAAACAACAAGGATTGATCAAGAATTCAACATCCACCTTTTCTAGTAAAAGTTTACAAAATCACAAGTTAGGATTTACAATCTCGAAAAATCAAATTCTCATATGCGAGTACAAAAGGAATTTTAAGTATAAATTCTAGAACATATCAATGGAAAAGACATTGTATGCGTCGAATGGAATATGGATGTCGGATTTTTCTAAAACTTGAAATGAATCGATAATTTAGTTAAAGAAATTAGAAAAAGGGTGGAGTAATAATTAAAAAAGCCTGTGATTTGCCTTATTGATGGAAAGACTTCCAAATGGGGTCTTGGGAGAAGACTTCCAAGTCAAAGCACTCAAAATTGAGGCTATGAATACTCTCCTTAAATCATAGATATTATATTAAAATAAAAAATTAATAATAATTGCTGACAACGCGGAGTGGCTTTAGAAAATTTGTATGCTTTTGATAGTTATCACTTTACAAAAGACTTTGGAGTTTGGAATATAAACAAATTGACCCAACACAGAAAATTTGATGGATACGTAAATGGAGTATTATTGAGTGATTGATTTATGCATCTTTCCATACTTTTAATTACTTCAACAACCTCCTTTATCAGGATCATTAACCTCCTTTTTTACATTTCTGTAATTACTTCATCAGAAAAAAATTACATGAATTTTAAAGCAGAATCACACTACAATCAGTACCAAATTATTTTAACTCAAAGGGTAACATGCAACATCATTTTTAATATCATAAGTGATTTATAAGTTTCCGAAAGGACAGTTTAAAGAATATTTCGCATTTTTCGTGAAATTACATGATGGTGTGTTTCTTGGAATGAACAAGTTCTTGGGATGTTAATTTGTTTCCCAGTTTCTTGGTGAAGTTCAGTTAAATTTTCTGACAAAAGATTTTCGTTTCTATTGCATTTAATGAAACTCAATACTTAGCAACAAAATTGCAGAACATATAACTACAAGAATTATGAAGAACCTACTCATAATGATCTCTGGGTGGTCAAGTCAATAGAGACTCTTGGGTGTATTATTTAAAATATTTTGAGTTTAAGTCTCCTTTTCGAGTGCTAATAAAAGTAACTATTGAAACTTTTATCAAACTGATAGTTTCAAGATCTCAGAAGATTAATTGAGGTGTACATAAATTGGCTTGGATATCTCGATAAAAAAAATAAAAATTATAAAAAAAAAAGGGAACCCTGCTCAAAGTTATGACCATTTCAACCGAAATAGTAATAGACTTGAAGGGTTTTTAGTATTCGGTGGACAGGACCAGTTGAATAGCTGACCATCTATTTGTTTGAAACTTGAAATTGCGGGATAGTTCATTGTTCAAAAAATAAGCGATCAAACAGTGTGGTAGAAATTTCATTGGAAAAATCCTGCCTTGCCTGAAATTTCCAAGTAAAAGTCCAAAAATTGAAGAAAACGTGTTGGTGTCCCCATCAGTAGACACAGGTAAACACTTTGGTGGATTTTATTATGTATTATAAGCGCGTGGGTTCCACCAATTTTTATTTTTTTTTCAGTCTTTTAAAGAGACTTTTACTCTATGTTCCCCACAAGTTTGATGACTTGGTCCAGTGGTCTTTGTCTTCTTAATTTTCTCTTCTTATTTCTTTTAACTTATAAATACCCTTTGTCTGTGTGTGTTAACATGCAGCAATACCACTATCACTTTTCACACAACCTTAAACAAACCAGAGAGCATTACCTAATCTTATTTTGCAGTTGATGATATCATGACATCAGAGCTTCAACTTCCAGGATTCAGGTTCCACCCTACTGAAGATGAACTCCTTAATTTTTATCTCAAGAACATGGTGTTTGGGAAAAAAATTCATTATGATATTATTGGTTTGCTTAACATTTATCGCCATGATCCTTGGGACTTGCCAGGTACATATATGTATATATAGATGTGTATATATTTAATTATTATGCAAATTGGTTAGGCTTGGAGTTAATGTTTTGATGGTTTAATTTGGTTTCAGGATTGTCGAAGGTGGGCGAGAGAGAGTGGTATTTCTTTGTGCCTAGAGACAGGAAACATGGAAGTGGAGGAAGGCCTAACAGGACTACTGAACATGGATTCTGGAAAGCCACTGGTTCTGACAGGAAAATTGTGAGCTTATCTGATCCGAAACGCATTATTGGCCTCAGAAAAACTCTTGTTTTCTATGAAGGAAGAGCCCCTAAAGGAATGAAGACTGATTGGGTTATGAACGAGTATCGCCTCCCGGATAGTTGCCCTCTGCCAAAGGTAATTATTATTTACAGTACCCTGTAAAACCATATTTAAATTCTATATCAAGCCGATACTAACATATTTTTTATGCATGTTGCAATGCAGGACATTGTGTTATGTAAGATATACAGGAAGGCAACTTCCTTGAAAGTCCTGGAGCAAAGGGCAGTGGAGGAAGAGATGAAGACAATTCAAACATCGCCTTCCCCACCATCATCGTTTGAGACAATCTCCTTTTGTGGTCAACAAGAAGATCATCAACTAATGGCGCCCATAGTATCGCTACCTCATATGATCCTCAAGCAAGAACAAGAAGTGATCATGGTAGAAGAATTTTTGCATGAAAAAGTTGTAAAAGATGAGAAAAAAGGGTCTTCAATGTCTTTGCAATTACCGTCAGGGAAGACAGAATTGCCAGAGCTCCAAGTACCGAAAACGAACACGGATTGGAGTCAGGACCCAGTTTGGACTCAGCTCAGTCCCTGGCTTCAAAATTTGACGCAGAATTTGACCCCTAGTTGTGCTAACATTCTGAATTTCTAGAGCATAATATTATGTTGCCAAGAATCAAATAACTTCGGTGATCATGTATAGCTAGATTGCATTCGAATCCTGGCTGTGTATCTATAATTTTGTTGTCAGTTTATCTTGCTCAGTGAAAATTAATGTCTGAACTGAGCACTAATTTTGAAGTGTTTTGATGATATTCATGTAGATGGGATTCTACATTTCAATTAATGTACTTGATAATCTTCGTTACTAATTTTTGTTTTCTGTGTTATTGTGATGATTTTGATCGACTTTACATGCTTTTCTTAAAATAAATCAAGAAAGGATTCACAGGCTGTAAATTGTAGATAGTCAAGAAGTCCACGAACCATGCACATAAAAAACTATGCATGTTGCTATCAACGTTGACCTACTCTATTTAATTTTATTAGTTACTATATATGTTTTATTTTAAGTTGTTCTAGATATTTTAAACATATTTAAAAGAAAAAACTCATAATGATAAGTTTTATTACGGATCAATCACCCTTAAATCATAATCTAGAGCAAATACGAATCACGATTATTTATTTTGATGTATAAAAATATTTATGATTAAAAATCAATTTATAAGGCTTGTGGAAGAAACAAATCCTTGATTATTATTAGGAATTTGTTTACCAATTAAATTAGAAATAAAGAGGAAAGTTGATATTGCTGTGAAGCAATTTTGCCGTGAAAAAATGGTGATATATCCTAGGAAATGACAAAAAGTGAAGGATTTGGTAAATCTAATTGACTTGACTGATCGCTTCGCCATAATTAATCTGGCCCAACTACAAAAAGGGCCATCTATTCTTCCGAGTCCTAAATTGAATGGGCCGGAAGATAGACTGAGCCCAAGTCAATTGGACAGCTAAACTACAGTCCAACAGTTTCTTTGGTACACTCAGATTGATATTACTGTATATCAAGTGAAGACTTCTCATATTCCAAAACAATAGAAAATTTTTCCAATTAAGATTTCTTAATTATAATTCATATCGCAAAAATCCTTGCATCACTTCAATTATTATATATCTAAGTATGTAACCATGAATTATTAAAATATGACACAATATTTGGCTACGGGGTTTTAAGTTACATGGTTTCCACTAATATTCCAGGGCTATAAGGCTTCTGGCCATAGCAGTCAAGATTATTACCATAGCCAACGCCAAACATGTCACGGTATCTCTTTATAGAACCCAATGCAATCCTGTACCTCTGAATCCACATTGTTGATGCTTGATTTTGACACCAATAACTTTGCACGTGTAAAATGTTAAGAAGTCACATGTGAGATGATTACAGTAAATGGGTGAGGTACTGTTTGAATAGTAGCATGCAAAGACGTAAACAATAAAGGAAACAGTAAGATTTTTATAGTGGTTCAAATGCTTGGAGCGAATCCTACATCCTCTATGTTCTTTTATATGATTGTGTTCTTGGTCGTTCACTAAGATTACAAGAGGTCGCGAACTACGATATGGTATTACAAGTGTTTAGTGTTCTAAGTGTTTTTAGAGAATGTCAAGCTAGTCTCTTTCTTTGTTGAATTCAAGAGTTTATGATCCCAATTTTGTGAGGGAGAGCTGCATGTTTATACCCGTTATACTCAAGGTAATGATTACACTTATGCAAGTGGCCTGGTGCCGTGCAAATCTCTCCTGTTTTTCCATTCGTTGAGAACTCAAAGAATATTCTTAAATTAAATGGGGCTTGGACAGATGTGCGAACCAAATTCATTCATAGACAAATGTTTGAGTCGACTGGGTTGTTGACAACTATATTCCTTTTGCCTTTGGAGATGTGGCAGTTTTTTTGAACTCTGATTGGTGCTCGATAATGTCAACATGAGCCAGCCCTTATTTTAGGCATAACACACACCATGACCACATTCAATCCCACCATTTATTATATTTGTGATCACATCGAATCCCAGAACCTAGCCAACCGACTAATCGACAGTAGAGGGTTGCCAATTTCCGGTGATGACATTGTGGCAGGATGGCTTTGGTATGTAACAACTACTGTAAACTAGTACAATGCATGCATAATAACAATAGAAAATGGGCCCAAAACTTTACTTTTTATTATAAGTAATACGTCTTTAATACACAAAGAGCATCTTTTACAAAAAGCCATTTTAAAAGACAAAAACAGGGGAAACAGTGTAGGACGCCCCTCCGACTGCATCATCACCTAGATCCTGCATCCACAAAGGAAAATAACGGGGTGAGCACAAAATAATGCTCAGTAAGTAAACCCTCTATCTGTTTATCCTCGTATGTATTTCTCTTAATTCTTTCCTTACACTACTTCTGTTTCTGTTTCTACTAGACGTCATGGCCTCATCTTACCGGAGGTACGGCCGGGTGGCGTTCACATAACACCATCTCACTCTTCATGACTGTCGGGTGGAGTTCACACAGCACCAACCCGTTCTTAGTGACTACCGAGTGGGGATCACGAAGCCCCTACTCGGTTTTCATAACTATCGGGTGGAGACCACAAAACACCTACCCATTCCTCGTGACTTTCGGGTGACGATCACAAAGCACTAATTCGTTCCTAATCACTGTCGGGTGATGATCACAAAGCATCAACCCACTTCTAATAAATGTCGGGTGATGATCACAAAGCATCGACCCATTTCTAATACTCTTCTCATTCACTCTACTCTAGCACTTCTCATTCTCTCTACCCTTAGAGTAGTTGCATCCACAAAGTTCTCTACTCATAGAGCAAGTGCATATACAAAGTTTTCTACTCTTTTTTAGGTCACTTCTCAATGCACAATTAATGTCTATGGATGATTCATCTCCACTAATGCACTTATGAAATGCCAACATGCAATGTTGCAAGAATTAAGGTTCACTACTCATACTTAAACCTCTATTAGGCATTTCATCAAACAACTCAAGTGCATAATAAAACTCTACTATAACAATAAGTCTATGTCTTTCTCTAACCATCCAAAATGGGGAGAAACTCCCTCACATAGCCATAATTCCTGCCAAAGAAAGACACTTCCAAAAAGGATTTCTCAATATCCTTCAATTCCATCTCAAACTACCTTTCCAACCCACATCTCACTTCTTATACTTGAAATGTATAAACAATCACAAAGCACTAATAATCTCCATTTAAGACTCAATAACATGGCATATAACATGTATATAACATACATACATAATTGCTATCAAAAACCCTAATCAAGAAAATTCTCAAATCTCAACTTGGATTGGGATTTACTTACCTTGTTATGGAGAGATTTCACTAGCTCTTCCTTTCACTTGGTTTGCTTGACTTTCTCTCTACTCTCAAACAAATGAACAAAAACCCTCAATATTCAATATACTCAAAAACTCACAAAACTTCACAACCAAAGCAAGAATCATTACCTTAGGATGCCTTAGATTGATTTTCTACCCCAAATCACTCCAAAAGCCCTTTAAAACTCCTTGAACAAAAGAAAGAGAAATTGAGAGGAAGCAAGAGAGGAGAGTGGCGATGGAGAAGAAGAATGAAGGGTTTGCAATGACTTAATTCCTTTTAATGAAATTTATACACAAGCATTCCCATTTTGCCCTTACTCTTCTTTGGGAATTCCATCTATATCCTTTGATTCATTACAAACACACCCCCATAACAACATATTCTCCATGAAAATTCCTTACATTTTACTCCCCACTTTTCCTGCTAATTAGGGGTAGAATGGTCAAATTGCCCTTAGGGAAGAAAATATCTAAAACTTAACAAACATTTTGGTTGGCACGTCGCCGCGGCGAAACTGTCCAGCAGCTTCCCGTGGCTTCAACACCTCTTTGCCGCGGCGAAGATTCTTCTTCGCCCCGACGAAGCATGGAACACTGAACTTCTTCTATTTCAACTAATTTCAGGGCAAGTATTCAACACACCACTCAATCAAAGGTCAACCAAACAATAATATTAATAAACCAACTCAAATAAGAGCAAAAGAAGAAACGTTAGCTACGCACCTCAAGTGGGGCGTTACATGGTACTTGCGAGGTCATCTAGAACCAGAGAGCTGACTTGAATGATATCACCACAATGGTTGCTACAAGGTCTGGATTGTTTAGCAAGTCCTCCCTAATCACATTTCCACACTTCTGATAGTTGTAATTCCTGAATGAATAAGTGTTTTATCAAATTATCACCGTGCTTGATTTATTTCAATTTGATCTTATACTTTATTTCAATTTAATCCTTAATTTTATTTTTTATTTCTATTTGGTCATTAGTTTTATTATTTAAATTTAAACAAATTGTATACATGTTTATCTATTATTGGTTTGTGGTACCAACTCAGAATGTTAAGTTAGTACTACTAAGGCAATGTAGCTTTTTCATCTCGTAGTTATGGTTATGTATGTTGTCTTAAAAGTTTTTGATATATGAATTAGGACACATGTAAACCAGTGTTCTGAAACCCGACCCATGGTGGGTTGATTGGTCTGATCAGTTTGATTGGCGGTTGACCGGTGACTAGCAAGTTTGAAATCTAGCAAGCATGCATCAACCTGTAAGCTTGAAATCCAGCAAACACACCCCTATGATCTAACCGCACAATAAGGGTTTCAGTTTTCTAGGACAAATTTTGACTGATTTCGGCAGCCAAAATTCAATCCGACACCACCACTTGAACCACTGGCCTCCACTCTACAAAACCCTTCTAACCTCGGTACTTGGTAGCCCTCTGTTTGTCGACTGTGACTCGCATATACCAACGTGATTGAGTTGATTTTTCTAGCCAAATTATTGCTGATTTTGGCGGCCAAAATTTAATCCAACACCACCACCTGAACCACTGACCTCCACTCTATAAAACCCTTCAAACCCCAACACTTGATAGCCCCCTATTCGTTGACTGTGATTTGTGCATACCGCCGTGATTGGGTTTATTTTCCAGTCGAGTTCTGACCTTTACGGACACCATGGGGTGGGCGACAGTTAGGTGAGAGTGGGGGGTGAGTGGGAAGGGGCGCTAGAAAGTGGCCATAAGTGGTCAGTGGTCAGGTTAGGGATTTTGAACTGTGGAAAGGGTAACCCAGCCTGGAGAAGGCCCTGGGTCCTGGTCGAACCACCCAGGCCAGGTTTCAGAACAAAGATGTGAACATAATTTATCTTTTATTCATTAACAATAGAAAAACTCGAAATGAAGTTATGGGCCCGAAGTGATGAAAGCCTTGATCAGGCCCAACCACAAAAAAGGACCATAT